AGATATGAGGTGGGAAGGACAGGGCTAGTGGGGATGGTCTTTGGAATCCACAGGAATTATGAACAGGTGGAGGAGAAGCTGCATCTGAAGTTCTGTTGCAGCCCTAGGGGCAACCCTGAGTATTGGATCTTGGGTAATAGATATTGGGAAAGGTCTGTGAGCACCCTACCTGGTCCCATACCCAACATCTTTTTTTTCTGGGTCTCAGGTTTATTAACAGAGCATACCAGATCTCACAATGCAGTGGTTATCGAAGTATGGATTGTCATATCCCCACCCCTCTCTCCTTTCTTCACTATTTACTTCTCAATACTGACAGGCATGAACTTAATACCCAACATCTTAATACTGATTCATCAAGTTCCCAGGGATCATTTATTTACTTCTTTATTTAGGTTTCTGTTGTTATTAATCTGTGAAAGACTTAGTTTATTGGATAAAAAGTGCTCTGTGGGCTGTGCATTACACCCAGCAAATATTCTTCTTGGGGTTGACCTGAGTTCAGAAACCAACACTCAAATTGAGAGGTTCATAACCTCCTGCTCTTTCAGATCCAGGGATCCAACACACTCTTTGGTGTGTCACTTGTGTATACATAGTAAACCTCTCTCACATGTACAAACAAACATCCACATAAAAATAAGGATATACTTGTTTTCAAAAATGCTTGTGACTTATAAAACAATTAGAGGAAAACAGGTTGCTTTAGGTATATAATACAAATCGTGCAATATTGATTTAAAAATCTGTTATCTAGCATTTTGTTTGAAATTTTTTAATTTCCCCACTCTGATCCAGACTTATATCCTGTCATCAATCATAGAAACAAAGGGTTTTGAAATGATCCTACATACATCCTTTTCTTTATCAAAAGAGAATGAGATAATTTTAGTAGTCAAAACTTTTTTCTACATTGTAGAAATATCAGGCTTCAAGTGAATCTACCCAATTTTGCTAGAACAGTCCTTCTCGCTCAACCTAGTTTCTATTATTGGCTAAGGAGAAAACTGGGATGTACAGTGTGAGTGGTGGTCAGTGTTTTTTTTTATTTTGATTTTCATTAGAATCTTGTTCAAGAGACCATGTTAATTATGTAGGTCTCTCTTTGTGTCTCCTTTTATCAGTTATACCATCTAGGTTTGGACAAATTTTTATTAGTTATAATTTGGTTATATTTTTCTCCACAAAATGATGGACCTCCACCTATTTTTATTTTCTGAAAAATTACTAAATTATGTTATGAGTTCCTTGAGTTTGTTGGCTTGGAGACTTTCTGTGGAGAAACAGCATTAGTTTTCTCTTCTTGTCTTAGAAGCTTGTTTTTCCTCATTTCTTGGCATATCAGAGTTTTCCAGTTGTTACTATCATCAGTGTTTGCATTGTTGCTATTTAAGTTATTAACGTTGTTGATAAATTGGCTTTTGGTTTTTAAAACCTTCTCATATATTATTGTCTCTGTGTCCTAGTTACTTCCAACTGTCAACATGACAGAGCCTACAGTCATCTGTGGGAACCTCATTGAGGATGTGACTTATCAGAATGGCTGATTGCTGTGTTTGAGAGATTTTGTTGATTTCTGATATTGATGTGTGAAGGCTCTTCCACTGAGGGTACAATATCCCCAAGAAAGTTGGCCTGGGCTAGATAAGAAAGCCAGCTGAGCATGAGACAATGACCAAGTAAGAAAGAAAGCTACTAAACAAAGTTTCCTTATGATTTTGTCTCCAGTTGCTAGCTTGAACTTCTATCCTAAGTTCCCACAATGATGGATTGTGATATGGCAGAGTCAGCCAAATAAACCCAATCATTACCTGTGGTGCTTTTGAGTAGAGAATTTAATCACAACAAGAAACAAGCAAGTTAGAACATAATGTGGTGCACAAAAAATGATTTTGTTGCTGCAAAGGAAAAAAGGACTGATGACTTTTGGCAGAATGTTAAATATATCCATCCAATTTACATTCCCCGGTCACCTCCATGTAAGTACTGGCAATTGGGCCCACTTATATGCAAGATCAGCAAGAGCTCTTAACTACTGAGCTGTCTCTCTTGCCCTCTTTTGATTATTTACAATCAACATTTATAATGCTACTGGCTTCATCTGTCTATTTGTAACTGTTTAAATGCATAGTTCCTTTTAGTAAAATTTATTAAGGTTACCATTTAAACTGAAGCAATTCAGGTATCTAGAAGATGAATAAAGAACTGAAGTGATTATGTAACTCTTTGTAGAAACTTAATTTTAAAAACCTCTGAGTTGTTCTTATTATTTTTGTTCATTTGATTGATTTTTGCAGAGGAGACAGGTTCTTAATTTTTACTTCTTACTCTCCTAGAACTGATTGCATAATATAGGCTACCTTTCAACTCAGAGGCAGATATACCTGCCTCTTTTATCCTCATGCTGGGATTGAGTCAATATACCCAGCTTGCTCATCTTTTTTTTTTTATTGTAGTTAGTAACTATTCATACAGTTTCTCTGACATGTAATTGGTACTGATGATAGGTTTTCTTGTCTCTGTATCTGCTAATACATATTTCTCTTGCAAGATGATATCCCATTCAAAGCTTTCAGAAATGATAGAGGTAAATGCCCTCTTCAATGTAGCTAGAGTTTTCCTGCCTGGCCCACAGTCAGGACAAATCTCTCTCACCCGCCAGTCCCAAGCCTCTCAAACCCGATCAAGTAAACACAGAGACTTATATTGGTTACAAACTGTATGGCCGTGGCAGGCTTCTTGCTAACTGTTCTTACAGCTTAAATTAATCCATTTCTTTTTTTTTTTTTTTTTTTTTTTTTTTTTTTTTGGTTTTTTTCGAGACAGGGTTTCTCTGTGTAGCTTTGCGCCTTTCCTGGAACTCGCTTTGGAGACCAGGCTGGCCTCGAACTCACAGAGATCCGCCTGGCTCTGCCTCCCGAGTGCTGGGATTAAAGGCGTGCGCCACCACCGCCCGGCTAATCCATTTCTATTAATCTATACCTTCCACGTGGCTTGTGGCTTACCGGTACTTTACATCTTCCTTGTCCTGATGGCGGCTGGCAATGTCTCCCTCACCAGCTTCCTGTTCTCTCAATTTTCCTCTCTGTTAGTCCTGCCTATACTTCCTGCCTGGCCACTGCCAATCAGTGATTTATTCATTGACCAATCAGCAACACATTTGACATACAGACCATCCCACAGCACCTCCCCTTTTCTTTTCTTAAAAAGGAAGGTTTTAACCTTTACACATCTCCAAAGTCAGCTTGGTATATTTGGGAATTTGGGCGTAGTTTTTCTTACTACTTCCTGCTGGAGGGGGGCGCTGTATCTTCTGGGGAAACAAAGAAAATTTTAGGATCATGGAGTAGTCCGTGAGGCTGTATCATCTGAGCCAGTTGTCTTGAAACGGTTCTGGATGTTGGATCATCTGGGCCATGGTGTCATTGGAGACCTTTCAGGGGGTTTTGGCTGGTCAAACCTGATGTATCTTAATCTGGAATAAATCCATAGCCTCTGGCTTTCTGTGGGAACAAAAGCAGAGTCTCCTTTCCAAAGTAACATATCCTTATATCCAAATTTTGAAGTCAAGGTACCTTTAAAATATGCATATTGGTATAACTCAGCTTCCTTTACAATCAAATATCTCTCTGTAGTTAAGAATCCCAAAGACAACACAATCCAGATTCTCTGTGTAATATTCATCTTCACGTGGCTTATTTTTTATATTAATTTTACTGTCTCTTTAAAGACTTTATTTTTTAAAACTATGTATTTGTTTCTATACTGTATATATCACCTTTTTTGTCTCTTTTAAGCCTACGTATATTTTACACACATTTTAAACTATTACATCTGAATCTGTCTTGTTGTGAATCTATTGCTTTAAGCTGCAGCAGCTGTGGCTGCTGGCTCCGCCCACCTCAGCTTCCCAACATGGCGTGGTACTTTACCACCAGCTCTGGGAGCTATCGTGGGTCTATGCTTTTATCCAAGCAGCGTGTAGCCCAGAAACCTCTTTTGTTTTGTACTAGCAAAGGCTAAATCCACAATGTAGCTTAATGTGCCACTTGCAGAGACCTCATTCCCGCCATACTGCAGGTCGAGCGTGCACGCCAGCAACCCGCCAGTAGCTCAAACCGGCAGCTGCTGCTCATTTGAGAGAGACAATTAGGAACTGTTTTCAGCTCCGTTTTAGAATCTTTTCTCTCAGTTTTTAGGTGGAAACTCTTGCCACCACGTTGGACGCCATTTGTTGCTAGAGTTTTCCTGCCTGGCCCACAGTCAGGACAAATCTCTCTCACCCGCCAGTCCCAAGCCTCTCAAACCCGATCAAGTAAACACAGAGACTTATATTGGTTACAAACTATATGGCCGTGGCAGGCTTCTTGCTAACTGTTCTTACAGCTTAAATTAATCCATTTCTTTTTTTTTTTTTTTTTTTTTTTTTTTTTTTTTTTTTTTGGTTTTTTTCGAGACAGGGTTTCTCTGTGTAGCTTTGCGCCTTTCCTGGAACTCGCTTTGGAGACCAGGCTGGCCTCGAACTCACAGAGATCCGCCTGGCTCTGCCTCCCGAGTGCTGGGATTAAAGGCGTGCGCCACCACCGCCCAGCTAATCCATTTCTATTAATCTATACCTTCCACGTGGCTTGTGGCTTACCGGTACTTTACATCTTCCTTGTCCTGATGGCGGCTGGCAATGTCTCCCTCACCAGCTTCCTGTTCTCTCAATTTTCCTCTCTGTTAGTCCCGCCTATACTTCCTGCCTGGCCACTGCCAATCAGTGATTTATTCATTGACCAATCAGCAACACATTTGACATACAGACCATCCCACAGCACTTCAATTTCCTTCTAAAGTGGCTAAATGATTATATGATAATGTCTGTATATAGAACAAGCATGGGAAACACCAGAATTATATTACTATATTATTAAAGAAGCATACATTTACAATGATGTCAGTATCATGTTTCTTGTTGGATGCATATGCATGACATATTTATGTATGGCATATTTTAGGATGCAGTGACCTATAATGATGTGCATGTCAACTTCACTCAGGAAGAGTGGGCTTTGCTGGATCCTTCCCAGAAGAATCTCTACAAAGATGTGATGGTGGAAACTTACACAAACCTCACTGCTATAGGTAATACTGAAAAATTGCCTTCATGTTTTAAAATAAGGGGACAGCTGTTTCTTGGTTATGGATACTCTTCTGTAATTTTGATTGAGTCTGATGAAGAATAAGGTGAAGATATCAAACATGGTTTTAAGGATCATTGAAGGGAATAACTTTAATTTTGCACAATTTCCAATAATATTTCATACATTTCCTGGTACTATATTTTAGGCTACAAGTGGGAAGATAATATTGAAGAGCATTGTCAAAGTTCTCGAAGACATGGAAGGTAATATTCATGTATAAGCTGATACAAGAGTGCCTCTGTAGATATTTTAATGTATCTGTAACTTATAAAGAAAAGCATCAGTGTAAGTAATCACAGTTTAAAGTACATTGATGATCATTAAATGATTTCAAAACCATATACCTCAATGGCAAGTGAATTGTGTTTTCATGTCATTCTTTTAAGAAAGAAGACAAGGAATCAATGCCTTAACAAATATAACCATTTGAATCATAGCTCCATCAGAGCTATGCTATAGAACTGACAATCCACTTAGTTTCATACTGTTCATATTACACAATTTATGCTCATTAAATGTATGGTAAGTGTGTGTCCAAAACCTTCTAATAAGCAAATAGCCCATAGTAAAAGTATTGTTACTCATATAGTTGTTCTGACTTTACTAAATTTAGTGAGAAGAGTAGTTAGAGTCAAGAGTTAAGGGGGGTTGTTGTGGAGGACCCTTAATCCCCATACCACATGTTGATGAGGAACAGAAAGTCCAACTGTAAATGAAATGTGGAAACCTTTTAGTTGTTATTCTTCCTTTAATAAGTATATCATATGTCAATTTAAAAATATGAACATAGGGATATGGAAAGAAGTAATATACATTTCTCCATCTCAGAATAATTAGAATATATGTAGTAGTCCCCATGTTGTGTAGACTTGTCAAATGTGATGCAAGTTTACAAACAATTGGTTTTCCAGCTTCATTGGAAATACATCAACAAACACACTGCAGAAAAGCCCTATGAGTACCAGGATTGTGTACATGCTTGTGTTTGTCCTGGTTTACTTTACAAATGTAGCATGAGTCACAGTATAGGAAAATTTGTCAATGGAATTGGTGAGGTAAAGGTCTGAATTCATCCAGGTCTCATCAAAGGCATGAAAAAAACTCAGAGAAAACTGATGCCATCAATATGAACCAGGTAATAAAGGATCTTACTATCACATCCTTAATGAAGGGGAAAAACATAAGTTTAGTGTAAATACTGGGCTAAAATCTTAAGATCTTATTCTTTACATTTAGACCAAATTATAAAATAAATACATACACATATACAGACTCAACACTGTAATGAATGTGGTAAAGCTTTTACATGTACTAATTTTCTTTGCAGGCATGAAAAAAGTCATACTACAGAGAAACCTTCTGAATATACTCAATGTAGTAAAGTGTCTGTATGTCAGAGTCTTCTTCCAAAGCATGAAAGAACACATACTGGAGAGACAACATATGAATGTAATCAATATGTTAATGCCTTTGAATGTCCCAGTCATCCTCAAAGGCATGAAATAACACGTACTGGAGAGAAACCCCATGAATGTAATCAATGTGGCAAATCCTTTTCACGTCACAGTAATCTTCAAAAACATAAAAGAACACACACTGGAGAGAAACCCTATGAGTGTAATCAATGTGGTAAAGCCTTTTCATATCAGAGTACACTTCAGTTGCACAAAAGGACCCATACTGGAGAGAAACTGTATGAATGTAATCAATGTGGTAAAGCCTTTGCTTATCACAATGGTCTTCAATTACATAAAAGAACACATACTGGAGAGAAGCCATATGAATGTAATCAATGTGGTAAAGCCTTTTCACAACATGGTAATCTTCAAAGGCATGAAAGAACACATACTGGAGAGAAACCTTATGAATGTAATCAGTGTGGTAAAGGCTTTGCATGTCAGGGTCATCTTAAAAGACATAGAAGAACACATACTGGAGAAAAACCCTATAAATGTAATCAATGTGGTAAAGCCTTTGCTAGTTGGTCTTCTCTTCAATCGCATGTAAGAACACACACTGGAGAGAAACCCTATGAATGTAATCAATGTGGTAAAGTCTTTTCACAACAGAGTACACTTCAGTTGCACAAAAGGACACATACTGGAGAGAAACCCTATGAATGTAATCAATGTGGTAAAGCCTTTGCTCAGTGGCATTCTCTTCAATTGCATGGAAGAACACATACTAGAGAGAAACTATGAATGTAATCAATGTGCTAAAGCCTAGTCACAATACAGAGTCACCCTATAACTGTAAAATTTTAGTTTGTAATTGGTCTTTTAAATTCTTTGAATATAACATTAGACTTTGAGGATCTGAGAAAACTCATACCAAACAGATTCTGAATATATATGAATTGGTATTATCTTTAGCCAGTATACTTACATTTAATTACACAAGATCATTTATTCTGGAGAAAAGTATCTGATACATGTCAATAATCTGTTTAAGCATTATGATGTTTCTATTTTGTTTACACCTGCAAACATATTTGGACAAAAGGGCTATGAATTTAAATGATAAGGTAGTCCTCTTGGATATCATACTTCTTTTCAATCACATGAGATAATGAATCCAGGTGTAAAAATTTATAGATGTATATTATCATCTTTTCTCTTGCATTGATAAAACATCATGTCAAAGTGAACTTACGAAAAGGTTTCATTTGGTCCTTGGTTCCAGAACAATACATCAACCCTATGAAAGTGGCATAGAAACAAGTGTCATTTATGGCAGCTAATTCAGGAGGCTAAGAAGTCACATCCTTTACCTGTAGCATGAAGAAGAAAGTGTAAATTGGAAATGCTGTGCAGATGTAAATTCTCAGACCAACCCCCCAGTGACATATTTCATCCAGCAGAGCAGCATTTCCTATACCTTCCCAAATTATATCACAGACTGAGAATGTTTGATTTCTCAAAATTCAAGCCTACATGCTTACTTTCTGTTACATGAACCAATTCATGATGGATAAAACCTTCAGATGCATCAACACCTGTATTTCAGGAATTACAATAGAAAAATATTCATGATAGGAAATTAGTTTAAAGATTTGTTTTTATTTTAATTATGCAATGTCTGTGTGTCTTTGCATGGGTATATGTATGTCCATTTTGGTTTCCAAGAAGGTTAGACCCTTGGAGCTTCTTGTAGCAGGAATTAGTGGAAGTCATAAAAAAACAGACCATGTTGGGCAGTGGTGGCGCATGCCTTTAATCCCAGCACTCAGGAGGTAGAGGTGGGCAGATCTCTGTGAGTTTGAGGCCAGCCTGAACTACAGAGTGAGTACCAGGAAAGGTGCAAAGCTACACATAAAAACCCTGTCTTGAAAAAACAAACAAACAAACAAACAAAAATAGACCATGTTCCAGGGAATGAACTTGTATTGAAGGCTTGGCCATGTTTCTATTCCTGTCAATATTTTAAAGCTTTTTTAATATCATCTTGATACCAGGAAATAGGATGGAACTCATACAAAAGAAAAACCCTATTTATATAAACAATTTGGTTAAGATTTTAGACATCACAGTTGTTTTTAGTTTCAAGGAAAAAATTGATTCATATCTTCACTGTAGCCTTGAAGTAAGTAAATTATTAACTAAGTTCACCAAAGACTGATGTGAAGACCACATTGTGGCTTCTATGTTGCAACATTTGAGGTAGATATTGAACTGTGGGATATATGTGGCAAATCCAATTTGTGAAGTTTATTTAGTGGTCCTTAATATTTCTTCTGTGGCTTTTGTTCATCTTCTTTTGTACTTTCACTTAATGAGAGGTATTTATCTGCTGTAATGTATACAATGGAATGGCCATCGTCTAAATGGTCCATTTTCATTTAACTCTCAGGCCATATGTGATCATACTTTTCAAATAAGGGTGTCTGTGAAAGGGTGGTGAATTTTTGTTCCAGGTTTTATTTTTCATATTTTTTCCACAAATGCCCTTGAAATGTTGTTTGTTATCCAGCCTGGCTTGAATGTCAGTAATTAGTCATAGATACATTTGGATTCATGATCCTTGTATGTCAGTCTCCTGAGTACAAGTCCCAAGGTAGATGATGTACTTCCAATGATTGCTGTTTGGTCAAAACATTTTAATGATAATGTTAAAAAAACTTAATAGAGAATATAAAAAAATTAAATACTTCATGTACATATCTGAAGAAATTTTCATCAATCTGAAAGAGATGCAATAATTTGAGTAAATCAGTAATCAACTGTATATTTCACAATATAATTTGATTATATATACATATATATTTACTATGTATATATTTTTGATTATATATACATATCTATTTTACTATGTATATATATATATTTGATTTCTCAAAATTCAAGCCTACATGCTTGCTTTCTGTTACATGAACCAATTCATGATGGATAAAATCCTTCAGATGCACCAATACCTGTGTTTCAGGAATTACAATAGAAAAATATTCATGATAGGACATTAGTTTAAAGATTTGTTTTAAATGTATATCATTTGAGGTTGCATGCATCTTCATGTCCTTATCTGTTATCCATTTGGCACTTTCTTGAAGTATTGTCTTCTAAGGTTATTATCCAGTGATGCCACATAATGTAATAGCAGTGAGATTTATATTAATTTTTTTCTGCTCTGTGTGTGTGTGTGTGTGTAATGTAGGCCATGACAGAAATGTTGAGAATAGAATACAACTTTATGGGGTCTACTTTTGTCCATCTTCATATGGTGATCAAGATGAGGTCACAGCCTTGCACAACACAGACATTTCTAACAGAGCAATCTCATTGGTGCTCAAATAAGATTAGTTGAAACATTAAATGAGTAAAATATTGTCGTTTTGGGTTGTAAACATGCTTTCATTGAAATACAATGAAAAATAGGAGAAATTAAATAATAAATCTTATTTGCAAATGAAAATTATATACTCCTGTCTTTGTTTTTGTTTTTATTGCATATGGAATGAGTTAGTTTATTATCAGGACTAAACATTTGTTCATAACACTTTCTCAGAACAACAAATGAATATCAGAGAATAGTTTCTGTGAGTAAAGATGTTTGCTGCTAATCCTGAGTTCAATCTCTAGGAACTCCATATCACTCCTACAAATTTTTCTCTGATTTCTACACTTGTGGTGTGGCATATGCACACTCACATACCAGCACACGCATAAATAATTTTAATACCCAAACAATTGGCATTGAGGTCACTGGCATCC